ATATTACATGCAGTTCATGCAGTAGGGAGTGCTCATATACAGTTATGATCAAAAATATTGACACCCCTGCATTTCCATCAGATAATGTACCATTTTGCCCAGAAAATTATTGCAATTACATATGTTTAGGCATTCTCATGTTTATTTCTTTCTTTTCGTATTGGTATGACATAAAAAAGTGGAAAAACAAAAATCCAAATCTGGCACATTCCATGCAAAACCCCAAAACTGGACTGGACAAAATTATTGGCATCTTCTAAAAACCGTACAAAATGACTGAATTCCAAGTTTGTGATGCTCCTGAAATTTGTAATTAAACTCACCTGTATCAATTACCAGGTGTTGACAATATAGAAATCAGATGAAAGAAAAGTAAAACGAGTGCTGGATGAGGTAGTGAAAGTGATACAAGCCACTGGCATAAAAGGCAAAACCTCAAAAGCCTCCTGATAAAATAGCTAAAACATAAAATATGCAGCGCTAAATCAAATATAAACAACTAAAATGTATATCAAATAAAAAATGCATATTATGCACATGAACAATAAAGGAATTGGTGGGGAAACCAATGGTTGAACTTATGCTAAGGTGTCATAAAAACAAAGCATAGTGCGTTTAGTGAAAATGGTGTAAAAGTCAATACATCAGTGGATTTTTCAAGGTGACATGAGAAATCCGTGACATCTGTGGTATAGAATGTGACTGTTCATTGCACTAACCAGATAGCGCAAAGGATAGCGCATCTGGTTAGTGCAATCAACAGTCACATAATATCTCAAACCTTGGCCATTGTAGAATGGCGATATAGGTTATATATACTTTTTATGCCCCAGATGGATGTTGTTTTTCTCTTAAAGTCTTAAAGTTTTTGTTGTAAAGGTCATTAAGACTAATTTTTTTTTTACGGGTGTGGAATCCACTTATAGGGAAGCAGGTTTTGCTTTGATGTTAAGTGACTATACTTTAAATCTTCTTACAGGCATTGCTCACAATCAACTGCTTGTGGCTGCTAAGTACAGTATTCATGTGATATTATAAACAATATACAGGGTAACTCTTGTTAGAACAAGATACGAATTATACTTTATCTTTGTTGAAAATTGATGTTGATATTTAAAGAAATGCAGAGCTGGAAAGTGTGGTTTTCAGGCCACATCCTCCTCTGCTTACTTTGCTTTTTATAAGACTGATGTCAGCAGTACCAACGAGTGTATCATTTATCAAATCAAATCAAGTGTAATGGTCAATAAGTGAATTGTTTATGTTTGCTTAAATATTTACATGCAGAGTTTTGTAGATAATTATACAATTCATGAAACATACAATTCTGAGTTACAGATCTCCAAGCAAATATTAAACAAATCAAAGTTTGTGAAGTTTGTTAATTCAGAGTTACATAGCTGCCGAATTTAATTGGTTATCAGCTTTAGACTGAACTACAAAAATCTGATTTGTGGTGCTCAGTTGAAATGGTAAAGGTCAAAGACTGTTAGTTTCCTTGTCGCTATGTTGACCACGTGGGGCCAAATATGGTACCCCAAACATTCCTTGTTCTAGGCTATTCACTGTTGGACTGATTTTCGAAAAGATTTGATCAGCTAGGATGATGGCAAATGTGGGAATTCCTCATTTCCATCCATTTTCCATGGCAAGTATTTGATATCTGACAGCCTTGGAAGTCATAGATGACCTAAGCTGATTATCTACAGAAAGGATCATAAAACATTTTCTCTGCTGGTATCTGACCAGTGTATGCAACCTTAAAGACTTGATTACTCCTGACAGCGATTAGGTCACATGTGAGTATCATCTCAGGTCTATGACATGCTGGAGGCGTTGTTTTTCATCCATTCAATCCTAGAATAGCTCAGCAAATCGTTTACATGACAAAAAGAATGGGGTGGGGCTGTTTAGAGAGGCAGAGATGCGTAAACCTGCTCATCTACTAGGATTGTGTATGTGCAAGGCAGAGAAGCGGGCGCACCTGTTACACAGCATTGTGAAATTGCTGGAACAAACACTCCATTTATTTCCCTCCAGATTCTACTTAACCTCTTCTTTTCCCAGGAGACCACAACTGTCACGACTATACCAAAATAATATAATTTATGCCCAATTAAATTAATTTTGACCCTTTTTTTAAAATTATTCAAACATTTTCAAAAAGATGTAAAGTCATGATTTGCAGCTCGTAATTTACTACCAATTATTGTAGAAGACAATTGAGTTAGACATTCTTTAGGCCAGTGGTCCATTTTAAAGGGGCTCTCCACTTGGAAAAATAAAAAAATACACGCCTTTTGTGGTACAATTGTTTGTGAAATTGTATCTCACATAAAACTATCAGTAGTAGAAATAGTGCCTCATCATTGGTATCAATGGGAGAAATCGTGCCACCATCATTGGTATCAATGGGAGAAATAGTGCCCCATCATTGGTATCAACGGGAGACATAGTGCCCCATTGTTAGTATCAATGGGAGAAATAGTGCCCCATCATTGGTATCAACGGGAGAAATAGTGCCCCATCATTGGTATCAACGGAAGAAATAGTGCCCCATCATTGGTATCAATGGGAGAAATAGTGCCCCATCGTTAGTATCAATGGGAGGAATAGTACCCCATCATTGGTATCAGTGGGAGAAATAGTTCCCCATTGATAGTATCAATGGGAAAAGTAGTTCCCCATCATTGGCATCAATGGGAGAAATAGTGCCCCATCATTGGTATCAATGGGATGAAAAGTGCTCCATCATTAGTATCAATGAGAGAAATAGTGCCCCATCATTAGTATCAATGGGAGGAATAGTGCCCCATCATTAGTATCAATGAGAGAAATAGTGCCCCATAATTAGTATCAATGGGAGGAATAGTGCTCCATCATTAGTATCAATGAAAGGAAAAGTGCCCCGTTGTTGGTTTCAATAGGATGAATAGTGATCCATCATCGGTGTCAAAAAGAATAGCTCCCCATTTTCGATGTCAGTGGGAGAAACTATGCCACAGTGTTGCTTGCAATGGGAGGAATAATACCTCAAGGGCAGGATAAAAGCAAGCAAAGGGCTGCATCTGGCCCCCAGGCTGCAGTTTGGAGACCACTGATCCAGAGCAATTGGTGCTGATAATTAAAAAGTTCTCTTTGTGAACAAAAGTGCACTACTGTAGTAACTGTAGCACTACCCTCATAAGGGCTGCTGGATTTGATGTGGGTCCCCCTAAGCTTTTCACGGCCAAGCAACACGTATTTTCCACACTTGTACCTTCAAAATCAGTAAAACAGTCCTTGAGCTGTTTTTTAGTTGTTTTTATTAAGGGGTTAACAACGTGGATGGGGTCTAGGGGTATATGGGATGCCCATGGAACTGCAGAACTTGAGGACGAACTTCTTAGCAACTATGTAACAAAATGTGGACTGGCAAAAATACTGGCAAAAATATAGCACTGTTCCTTTTTGGTGTACCTCCTCAGACCCCGGATGAATCCTCCTCTTCACCCAGCTGTGCTGAGGGTATCCCTGAGCAATTAAGCAGTCCTAGATGAGGATTAGTTGGGTATTGCACATAACCACACTCCCCCCTTATCTGACCCAGGCGGTGTAGGAGTACTCACACTGTCCTGTCCTGTTAGCATGGTGTTGGGTATAGTTGGGTATTGCACATAACCACACTCCCCCCTTATCTGACCCAGGCGGTGTAGGAGTACTCACACTGTCCTGTCCTGTTAGCATGGTGGGTTGGTAACTGCTTTCAGACCTTTCATTGCTTTCACACCTTTCACTGAGCTGGCTCCTTCCCTGCTGCTCAGGATGTCCTTCCTAGGAGACTTTGGACAGTGGAGATCCTCCTGTCCAACAACTAGCCTGTAGGTAGGCTCTCCTCCCTGGGGCCCCCTCACAGGTGCCACACTCCAGCTTTCTCAAAATCCATTTTCCATCCGACTCCCCTCTCTCCCCAGGCTCTGTCATATTTGAGGGTTGCCCTGGTCACCGCACCTAACCTCCTGCCAAGGGATTGGCCAAGGTTTCTCAGACACGTAGATCTGTGCCTCCTCCCCTCCTCCACCCCTGTTCCAGAAAGTTCTCTAATTTCTGTAAAGTTGGGAGGACTCCAGAAGCCCTGACCTGTAGAACCTCCCAGCTTGTCAAGAGGTGAACTCCTGCCACACTCTGAGGCTGACTCATTCCAGGCTGCTACTCAGCCACTATCTAACAAAAAATTATTTTACTAACCTGGAGGGTTTTACGTCACACAAACTAATCTAGTAGATGAGGTGAAGCTATATCTTTTGATATGTTTGCATAGGAAAAAAAGGGAGCAGAAAACTATAATGCATGGATGTCAGGAGTGTGCAAGGCACAGAGAGCAGGAGTGTGTAATTCCTAGAATGTAGGGGGCAGGAGTGTGCAACACACAAAGAGCAGAGTTCAGGAGTGTGTAATGCACAGAGTGTGAGGTTCAAAAGTGTGTTTAATTTACAGAGCCCAGGTGGCAGGAGTGCATAACACACAGAGGTCAGGAGTACGTAATGCACAGAGCACATAGGTCAGGAGTGTGTAATGCACAGAGCACAGGGGTCAGGAATGTGTAATGCAGAGAGAATGTGAGGATCAGGATTGTGTAACTCACAAAGTTCAGGGGTCAGGAGTGCATAACACAGAGCACAGAAATCAGGAGTACATAACATACAGAGCACAGGGGTCAGGATGTTTAAACCCCTTGCCTCAGGCACTTATACCCCCTTCCTTACCAGGCCAATTTTCAGCTTTCAGCGCTGCCGCACTTTGATTGACAATTGCGCCGTCATGCAACATTGTACCCATATGAAATTTTGATCATTTTTTTTCTCACAAATAGAGCTTTCTTTTGTGGTATTTAATCGCCACTGGGCGCTTTACTTTTTGCGCTATAAATTAAAAAAAGTGCAAAAAATTTGAAAAAAAAAAAAAAGTTTATTTGTTTCTTTTATAAAATTTTTCAAACAGGTATTTTTTCTTCTTCACTGATTTGCGTTGATGAGGCGGCACTGATGGGCACTGATAGGCGGCACTGATGGGGCACTGATAGGCAGCACTAAAGGGCACTGATAGTCAGTACTAATGAGGTGGCACGGATAGGCGGCACTGATAGACAGCACTAATTAGGGGTCACGGATAGGCGGCACTGATATGCAGCACTGATAGGCGGCACTGATAGGTGACACTGATTATGGGTACTGATAGACGGCACTGACTGGCATCACTTCTGGGCACTGACTGGCGGCACTGACTGGCACAACCCCTGGGCACTGACTGGTGGCACTGACTGGCAGCACTGCTGGGCTGCACTGGTGGGCGGCACTGGTGGGCACCACTGGTGGGTGGGCACAGGTGGGTGGCACTGGTGGGCACAGGTGGGTGGCACTGGTGGGCACAGGTGGGTGGGCACAGGTGGGTGGCACTGCTGGCACATGTAGGTGGCACTTCTGGGCACTGGTAGGTGGCACTGCAGAGTGGCACAGGTGGGGGCACAGGTGGGGGCACTGCTGGGCACAGGTGGGGGCACTGCTGGGCATGGGTGGGCGGGGCTAACGCACTGCTGGGAGGAACTTGCGGGGGTCACTGCTGGGCACCGATCATCAGGGCACTGATCATCAGTGCCCTGATGATCGGTGCCGATCCCCGCTCTGACAACTGCCGGTTCTCGGCAGTACTTTCCTCACGATCTGACAGCGTGAGGAAAGTGCAGCCGAGAACCGGCACTTGCATTTTCCTGTGATCAGCGTGTCATTGGACACCGCTGATCACGTGGTAAAAGGCCGGTGGGATCGGCCTTTCACCACATCTCGTGATCAGCTGTGTCCGTAGGACACAGCGATCACGGAGATCGCTGGGTGCGCACCCCCTGGGGCGCGCAGGAGAGCGCGTTCTGGGAGGACGTCATATGACGTCCACCCAGAACTAGCCGGCCGCGGTGCAGCCGTCATTCGGCTATGCGCGGTCGGCAAGTGGTTAATGCACAGAATACATGGGGTCTGGAGTGTGTAATGCACAGACCAAAGGGGTCAGAAATGTGAAATGCACAGAGCACAGGGGTCAGTCTAGGTTGACTGGTATACAAACAAACATCCGATGGCTGCACATCCAGTATTATCACCTTTATTTATTCTTATAGAATATTCCAAAAATATGACAGGGATAGAGGACTCCAGCTAATGCGTTTCATGCTCCACTAGTGCTTAGTCATAGCTAAGCATAGTATAACTTTGAAGCAGTTTGGCCATTCAGGGAATTATGGGTAGGGGCTTGCCTGTATGCCAAACAAGCTTCCAGGCAGCACCTCCAGATGGGTAGAAGGGCCAGACGCAGTGAGTGGCAGAGCCAAGAGTGGAGTGGTGTCAGAGCCAGTGAGTGGAAGATCCAGGTAGGAGGTGGTGCCAGAGCCACTGAGTGGCAGAGCGCATCAGGACCTGGGGCACCTAGCAGGAGGTGTGTGCTACAATTTGTTTTGCTGTCTGTGTCCCCATTGGGGAGATATACCTTCTCTAATATTGACGGTTGGGTCTGTGGCATAGGCAGATATGATAAGAGACAGTGGGAAAGAGGCAATAAAAACCGGTCAGGGATTTTGTCTATTTCCTATTTTGGTTACACTTAAACTGTATAACCAAAATGTTTTTTGTTTTATTATATAGAAGAGTATCATGGTGTTCAGAATCACCAAAACACCTTTTATCCAGATTACTTGACATAGATATAGCTTTATGTTGTGCTTTTATGTAAGATGTAAATGTAATAAGCTTCTAAACATCAACATGCAAAATTATTTAAATACTGAAAGCACTTGATATCAAACTTTTTGTTGTGACAGCCTGTGAGCCCACAGAAGTCTGCTAAAGAATGTAGCCTAGGCATACATTGCATTTATTTTTCCATACCATGATTACCTGCATAATACTTGTGCTGATAAGTATTTAATATTAGTTGCAATAAGAATCCTATTAAAATATTTTTGAAACACAGAATATAATCTACCCAGGCCTTGTTCATTGAGTAGTAATTTTTTTTTTCGGTATGTCAATGTTTTTGAAGAACTATTACAATATGATTGGTCGGTTTGTTTCGTGGTTGACATTTCCTGCAAGTTATCTTTCAGAACAGTTTCAGATAGCATATGGTAATGCTTCCTCTACCGTAATACTTAAAATTTTTACCTAACTGGAACTTTTGTAAAAACAAGATAAACAGATAAAACATTACAATTTATGGCTTCAGTTTCTCGCCTTGAGGGCGGTAAATGGAGTTAAAGCCATTATTTGTGTTTAGACCGTGTGACTCTTCTGTCTGGGAGGGACACTATAAGCAACTCTGAGACACATCTGAAACTTTCCTGTCAATCCAGGAAGTGCACACGTGAGCAGTAGAGATGCAGCGACAGGCACTGTGAAGGAAGCCAACTGCAGCAGCACTGAATGCTGAATATTATTTCTCACTGCCGAAGAACAGCCAGTCTGGGGCAAGTTGACAAAGCAAAGAAAGTTTACAAAGAAGGATGTTTCAAATCAACATTCAGGAAACAATCATGTATTCTTGTCATTGAGGAAATTCTACAAGTGTCTTGTTGGTGGAATTATTATTGATGTGTACATGTAAGAAGCACATAACAGGGGATGAGTGGTGAGCTAGCAAGAGGCAGAGATGGAATACATGGGAGTTTCAGGACAAGTACACCAAAGCAAAGCAAAACTCTGTGGCTATCCGGGCAGAGGTTAAGAGACATAATGCCTCAAAAACACACCTTGGACGACTATCGAAGCTGGTGGAAAATGTGGGTGACCAGCATCTGAGATCTAGCCTGATGATGTCTCTGCACAGCCTGCAAGGTAAGATACCTGTTCTGTATATCATGCCAATCAAAACTGGAAGAGCACAGCTATGGAGATGCAGCATGTAACGGGCTGGGAGTTTAGTCTGGCTTTTCCATGCTAATTGCTTTCTATGTTTCTGAGGGGCAGTGGTGTGGGACACAATCCTCATGGTCAATATGTTGGCTCTGAGTAAGTTGAGATTTTGGATCCCTGTTTGAGAAAATGAGGAGCTTCAATAGGACTAATCAGGAGGCCACTGAGTGGTCCTGGGACTTGAGCTTCCCTTTGTGACCAGAAGTAGAAGTAGAATCCTGTGCTCAGGATGAACATCTCGGAAAGTCCTGAACTGAAGAGTACAGGTGTGCAGTGTGTGCAAACTGTTCTTCTGAAGGCTACCCTTATGACATCCCACCTTACAAGCATGCATTTGATAACAAGTGAGTAATACATTTATGGTGATCATCAATAACATAAAGAGCAAAAGAGAAGGTCTTATTTGCTAGGACTACTCAGGTTTGATCTTACATTTCCTTACCTGCATCGAGGTAATGAAACAAAATATTTGACTGGGAATATGAAGAAGACATCCTCTTACGTAAGTTAGCCCCAATGTCAGACTGAAGCTGGCTGAAAGAAAAAAATGTAACAGGTTCCTCCATTCACACTAAACAGCATGGTTGGACTATTGGGCTATTGTATTCTGACAGCCACTGGCATCAGCTGTCAGAAATGCATTTGATAACAAGTGAGTAATACATTTATGGTGATCATCAATAACATAAAGAGCAAAAGAGAAGGTCTTATTTGCTAGGACTACTCAGGTTTGATCTTACATTTCCTTACCTGCATCGAGGTAATGAAACAAAATATTTGACTGGGAATATGAAGAAGACATCCTCTTACGTAAGTTAGCCCCAATGTCAGACTGAAGCTGGCTGAAAGAAAAAAATGTAACAGGTTCCTCCATTCACACTAAACAGCATGGTTGGACTATTGGGCTATTGTATTCTGACAGCCACTGGCATCAGCTGTCAGAAAACAGTGGCAGTATCTAAACAGATAATTTTCCACTGGATTACAGAGGCAAGAATCAGTGGATTCCTGTGGCTGAAATGACCAGGGCATGCGAGTAGTCAGTTATGTCCATGCTCAGGCATCTGTCTCTAACTACAGGAAACTGCTTTCTGTGCAGCTACATGTGAATAGCAGTGGCTATTGTCAGCCTGTCATTAGTTTATATGAGCTGAGTGGCAGCTGATTCTCGCTGCTGGAATCCACTTGCTGCATATAAACAGTCGTGTGAAGGAGGCTTTAAAAATGGAATTTCAGGCACCACCTAACTAATCTTTAAACTGTCACCTCCCCTTCCTAATGCCTATTCTGCCTAACCTGTATAGGAAAGACCTATTTTCAGGCCACTTCAAGTAACATGGTCCGACTCACCTGTGTCAGTCAGAATGGCTGCAGGGGAGAGGATAGAGTGACAACACTGGATGGGTCTATGAAGGCTACTGAAGCATGATGTCATGCTCTCAGGCATTACTAGCCATTGTCGGAGTGCTCTCTGCTCTCCCTACAGCCGGGTTTGGCTTTAAGTCAGTTACAATGGTAAGATCATTGCAAAATATTTATTTTATACCTTGGATATGCAACTGTGTACAAGTGGATTTATTAGTATTTTCTGGCTATAGACATCAATAAAGCCATGAACCCTACTTGTCTATGTTTTACTGGTTTGTAGCATGTTGCAGGCTTTGGCTTGTTGCCTACCACTTCATTGTCTGCTAGAAATAATGGGAAGTCCGACAAGGCTCTAGGTATTCAAACAAGGCAAGAACGTTTTACTAATAAATCCAGGAAATTGGTTGTGTTGCTTATAGCAATTAAACTAACAATACCTTTTCTTCTGGTGGACCATTGCAAATAGATACACTTCCACATTTTCTTCTTACCCGTGTTGATGGAAACCTGTCCTGACAAAATGTGAAGGCTGACGTTTCTATTTGAAAATGCAAGTTGCCTGCTTGACATGGTGATCCAAATGCTTCAATACTTTCTGAATCAAAAGAAGTTTGCACATCAGACTTTACTATAATATTCTAAAACAGTACTACAAGAGAATGGTTTATGCATTTCTGTTGGTGATCACATTGCACTCTCTTGAATTTGTAAAGTGATATGAACCTGCTATGATCGACAGTATTGAAGAGGTAAAAACCAGAAGAGGATGTACATGAAGTAAACTTTCTGAGTGTCTGAATTTAAGCAGGAACTGGTGCTGACGAACAAGTCACTTGTAGGAAGATTGTTAGAATAACAGTATATTGTGACAGTGCTGTACAGGCCTAGCCTTCTGTAGATATGGTTACAGTATTGCAAATCTTTAATATGTTCATAAAAACTAATGATGACAATATATACAAGGTACACTTAGGTGGCTGCTCATACTTTAGGCTGACCCTTTTGGGGTGTGTTAAAATTCCACGCTGTTCCATTCAATTCCATTGCTGATTCTTGTTCTTCACAGGTATCCAACATTTCTGAGACTAGGTCGCTTTAACAGCCCAACCCAAAATCTGTATTAAGAGGCAAACAGTTATACATACAACTGAGGTGTCCTGTTATCATGCAGCGGTAAATGACCGCTGCTCAGTTCTCCGGCATTCTCCGAGAAGACAGTTCTCCTCTGAATGCCTTTTTATGAAGTGGTGTAGGTCAGTTCTCCGAATGAAGGGAGAAGCGATCTACAAATGCTTTCAATGCTGGAAAACGGCTGCTTTTACTATATTCTCGTGAGATTACAGTAAGAGATCAGTCAAACACCATTTAGTAAATTATCACTGCTTCGTTTGCGGTTCCTCCGATTCTCCAGCTCTGAGCTGGAGAATCTGGAGTGAGAACATAGATCTCCAGTGAAGGGCTGAGATCGCTCCTTCATATACTGGCCATTTGTGTGCTGACATGATCAGCGGAGAACATGTTCTCCGCTGATGATCTCTGTTTCCTAAATCACTAATGATCGGAGATCAGCAACGATCCTCAGGATCGCCACTGTACTCTGTTTCATAAAAGGACACCTAAATCACAGGCAAAAGATTTGTAATTCTATGCAGCAACTTTTGTGATTCCTATGCCTTTGCTAGGTAGGTGACACCACTTTCTCTGTTGGAGTTAGAGTCCCACTGCAGGTAGGAATAAATAATTACCCTTGGAGCGGCTCCACCACACTGCAAGGTCTAAATGCTCTTTAATTCTAGGGGTAGGGTAAGTAAGGTGTAATACTTTCCTTAGTCCTCACTAAGGTAGGCTTTGTCTTTGCCGTGTGCTGTTTCCTCAAAGACTCTTCTCTAAGGCACTTCGGCTGGTGATCACTCAGGGGCGGACTGACAACTCATGGGGCCCCCAGGCAATAGGGAATCATGGGGCCCCTGTGTCCTTGCCCAAACTCAAAAAAGCCTATGAAAAAGGTACCAGGGGCATCTCGTGGGGCCCCCTACTGACCCCGGGGCCCTCGGGCAGTGCCCAAGTTTCCAAATGGTCAGTCCGCCCCTGTGATCACTCGCTGATGTCATCACATACAATGAGGACCAATAGCCCTGCATTGTATGTGGGAGCCTGCTCTTTACTCAAATAAACTGGAGGGTATGATTTAGGTTTCACCTTTCATACAGTAGATGCGCCCATTTTGTGACATTTGTAAATTTACTTGCAAAGAAATTTGATTGCATAGAACCTTTGATCCTTTACAAATTTATAAGCGGAAAAGACATTGGAAGAAAGTTATAAAATACAAAGAAAAAGATACTTACACAAACCATTTTTAGTCTATACTCTAGCATAAGCTAGTTGTGATGCACAATAACACATATTTCTGTGCATCCGCAGTCATTCATAAATGCCATTCACTGTGTACAGGCAGACCTTTCTGTTACAGGTAAAGAGCATTTTCAATTCAGTGAATTGGTCTGTTTTTGGCTTACATGATTCAATGTTCTTCCACAATCATAAATTATGTCACTTCCTCTAACTTGTAAGACATATTACATAAATCACTTTATCTCTTTTCACTGCAGAAGTGTGTGTTGTGCATGCACAGCTCACACAAATTGTTTAGGGGACCTGAATTGATCAACTTGAATTCATCAACTTCATTGGGTCTAATTTGGTTGGATTACCCATGTTGAATTCACCTATTTTGTAATGCTTATCAGTGTACTACATCTGTGATCACAGTAATGTAACTGTAACTATAGGCACTGCATTATAGGCTGTTCACACCTGTGCACTACAATGGTACCATCATGATCCATAGTCATTTGTTACATCTCCAGTGTTCTCCAGCATAACAGCCACATCCCTCAGCACACATCATCTCACACAAACTTATATTTCAGATGTAGGGATCCTGCCTCACACTGTTGTGTCCCTTATTACATTCAGTCTGTTGCTGCTGGGCTGTACCCAGCCTGAGCATCTAGTTACCTATTTATGGTCTCTGTGAATTTCTTATAAACTCATGGGGTTGATTGCTTCTTCCTATGAGGTTCCAGTAATCAGAGTGGGAAGAACAATCAGTGAGCTATGAATATTTATCTAAGTAGTTTGTGGAGATGATAAAAGTTTGGGGCACATTTCCACATTATTCTTTCTCTCCTGGGCCTTGCCCTAGCTGGGGATTGTGTCAGAGGCTCGGGGATTTTCAGCTGCCCCTGCGGAAGGGTGTTTTCTAGAGGGAGATGGGCAGGAAAATGGCTCCCTCGATTGAGAATCTTCTGAATGAGGCATGCCTTAAGAATGATTCTTTGCCACTTAATCAAGGTACCTATGGCTGCTATCAAAGGGTCAAGGACCAAACTGATTGGATACAAATCCACTGCAACTTAAAAGTGTTACTAAACCCACAACAGTAAAATCAGTCTGTATATGCAGTAAAGCATGCATGCTATACTCACTGTGGAGCCTAAGGGTTTAATCCTCCGCATTATGTAAAATGGCTGTTTGATTCTGTCTTCTCTGATCCTCCCCTTCTTTTACTGTCCCCAAACCATCTACTGATATTACAGAGCCCTAGGAGACACTCTGCATGTGCTCAGTTTGGTGTGTATTGCTAGAGGGTCAGGGGTCATGCAGCCTCATAGGACAGTCAAAGGAGAATAAAAACTCCTCCTACAAGATTAACTAGTGTTCATCAGGACACTGATATAAGTCACAAGACTGCTATATACTGCTGATGAGAAAAGGTATTTAGCAGTTTATATTTACTAACATTATTGTATTTCCATGTGCTGCGTACTGTGCGAGACCAGATATAGTGAATGCAGGGTCCTGGGTTTAAAGATTTTGACTGCTCTTAAAGATCTGCTTTTCTGTTATCACAGAGCCACCAACTACCTAGAGGCTGCCCTTAAAGACATGCTACTGGTAATATTACTAACAATTCAATACTGTTGCTACAAAATACCTGTGCTATTTTTGGGATTCTACACACCTAAACTGTCTCTCCTAGAATGGAGTTCAGTAATAAAAAGGCGAAAGTGACTGATGCCCCAACTTACTTTTCACCCCACCATACATCGGGACCCTGAGATGGAAATATTAGCCTTCCACACTACTCTGGGGGTTATTCTGCACCACCCCAAGAGGTGGAGTGCTAAACAGAGAAGTTGAGGACTCTCTCTGACTGGGTGTGTTTCCAAATGCTGATTACTGAAAGTAGTGGTTCTAACTCTAGTGGCTATTGAAGGGCACAGTCATATTTAGACATCCTGCACAACCTCTGAAACAGGAACCTGGAGGTAGACTACACGTTAGAGGTTATGAGAATGATAGCTATGTCTACTTCTGGTATTTCAATTGGGCTTCATGTTATGATAGCTATTATATTTTGAAAATAAAATTATACTGGAAATATTAATGGCTAGGAAAATATTCCAGCAAAAGTATTACAGTAGCTGTAGTTGCTAATATAAAACCAGAAAACATCATCAATGATTGGGAACCAGTAGGCAGCTTACTTATAGGAATGAGGCCATGCAAGAGATTTTTACTTCCCAGAGAACCTCGACATACATTCTAATGCATGCATATACATTTACTAACATCTGTGTCTAAAAAAGGACTTAGGAAGGAATATAGACCAATCGTGGTCATTTTCATGTAGGATGTGAATGTTCTGTCTGATTTGTAAAGATACAAAGGCACTGGAAGTAACACAGGTAGGATCAGCCGTCCCAATTTACTAACCTAGATGCATGTTTACACCACTTTTTAATGCTTAAAATATAGTACGGTTGATGGATTATACAAGAATATTTTAGATAGTTTGCAAAACTCAGAATTTTCATGGATGGCCTATTACTTTTGAAAGCTAAGAGCTTAATGTGTCTCTGCTGATACAACTGACCTCTATTTAAGAGCTGAGAATTTGATGAAATGCTGACTCTGGTTTTCTCAGGATAGGCGGATTATTTATAATAACCTCCCTTTCTTGAAATCTGTTATAATAGGTGCTGATTGTGCATGTTATTCAGGGTCAAATTAACTTTTACACAGTTGTAACCTATGTATAGTGTTTAGCTGTGTACCTCTGGGAGGATTTTGCTGTTCTGTGGGTCTAAGAGACCTGCGGTCAGGAACATGTATGGAAATGGAGTGTCTGTCCTGGAGCATATATATGACCTCTATTGCCTTTTCATAAGATGTCAGCATGTCAGTCTTTTAAACATGTATGTAGCTCAGTCTGCAGCGCAGGAAAAAGACTCTGTGCATGGTAGCCAATCAGCTTCTAACTTCAGCTTGTCCAATTAAACTTTGACAAAAAAAATAAATAAAAATGGAATCTGATTGGTTTCTCTGCAGAGCTGCACCAGATTTTTCACTCTCCAGTTTTAGTAAATCAACTCTTATGTCCGTGCAGCAGAGGAGACGTTTACACAGGCATGACTGCAGGAGAGGCTGCTATTACAAGACATTGAGCATCCAGACTTAAAGCGGATCTGCATCTGAACACCACAAACAAAAAATGCTGTTTGAGTAAATTTTTGATACTCCAGGCAAACTCGCCCATCCATCCAGGTCTCCATGCTCTATTTTGCTGAGAAATCACTTTGAAAAACACCCCTTAGCATTTCTGGCCATGAGCAAATTGAGTAAGGGTAGATGATTAATGTAGCATTTACTTCCTGGAATCCATCTTCCCTTAACTCAGGCATGAGGGTGTGCTTAGCTGAGAAAACCCCTCCTACCCTCCTGAAGACTCCTGGGATGTATGAAATCATTTGCCTAGGTATTGAAACCAGGAAATGTAAAAAAAAATGTGAAATGTAAAAAAAAAGTTTAAAACAAGTAAACATGATATACTTTCCTATCTCTTTACTAATGCTAGCAGTATAAGGAGTACAAATAGTCAATGTTGATTGAGAGGGTGAAATTCTGCTATAAGCCTTCCCTCCATCCACTAGGAGGTGCACTAGGGATGTGGACTGCTAGAGACTCTGGTGGAAGGACTGTGGGGAGTGTAGCTCTACAGACTGAACTGGCTTTAGAATCGAATAGGAAAAGACATCAGCTTCCAGAAGCACTGTGGTAGAAAGGAGTGGAGTGTTGTAATTTTGCCAGGCTAAGAGGAAAAGCGGATAATTTGCAGAGGAACTGAGACTGTGAGTAGACCACTACATCTGAATGAAAGAGAGACACAGCAGTAGCCATTCCAGAACATCAGAGGATATCCCAGAAGCTGGCTGAGCCTGCTGTCTATTTGGGATGTCAGACGCTGAGAACTCTGACCAGGGTACACTTTGCCAGTGAGCAGATCCCTTGCTGACATAGAGTGGTGAGAGACTACTTGCCAACCCTGGATTACACCTTGATAAAAAGAGGGACAGACTTGTTAACAAGAAATACAGTGCCAGTGCCTGCATAAGTTCTTAAACCGACATTGCTGTCAATGCTCCACCATCACAGTTGGGCCCCAACAGGAAGGCCAGCAGAAGAAATAGGGTAGCATATTACTGACCGCAGAACTGTTATTGTGGTATATATGTACATCTTCCCCTAGTTAGGGCTCAGGAGGGGGTTGTGTTTTACAAAGATTATTGTTTATGCAGCATATTACTACTGTTTAACCTCCCTGGCGATATTCCCGAGTGTAGCTTGGGGTAAAGTTTCAGTACCAAAAGCGGTTCCCGAGCTACACTCGGGAATACCCTGCAGCGCTGCTCAGGGATCTCTTCTTTACTTACCTTGTCCTGCGCTCCCGCGATGTCCCTCCTGCAGCGTCCCCTGCAATGTCCTCCAGCGGATGCCGGCATCTGTCTTTTGGGTTCCGTTCCCTGCGACGTCGGGACGTACGGGGGACGGAGCTGGTGGGAAATTTGAAAGTTGTAAAAGTGACATTCACTAAATTCACTAAAATCACATAGTAAAACATTACTGTATCAAAGCATTTCACATAAATTTTGTCCTGAGTGCTTTGTCCTGTGCCCTGCCTGCATTTTTACTGTTCTTTCTGCCTTGAAACTGAGAAACGTCCATGGCATCCAAAAAGCGTCGCTTT